AAGTTACAGGAACAAACAAAATACAACACTTAGCTGCATGTATGTCCTTCGCCAAATCCAAAGACACTCCTACGAGACTCCGATGATGGTACGATGAAATCACTGAAACGGCTTTACTGCCCCGATCATTCGTTATAGTTGTCAGACAGCTCCTTCATATAGTTGGCTACTCGCTCATCCATTAACGGTTCTCTCAATCAAATTACACGACTTCCATCCCCGAATGCAGCTGCATACGAATCAAGATCGCAAAGGTTAATTCCTTATGCGGTTCAATATAACAAAAAAACCTTCCGAAGAACCCTCTCGGAACAAGAACCACTACAAATCAACCTCACATGTAACATCGAAACAATCAGACACAAATTTGGAACAATCCTTACTTTCAGGAAGAAGCGGATGGCTCAAATTAAATTAGCTAACCTTGTTGCAATCTCCGTAACTAAAAACAATTAGCGCGTGGCCCCACATCCACATAAACCAATGGAAAAAAATTGATCTAATCCCGCAAGTGACATCAAGACATTCCCCAATCTGCATTCTGCGAGCCACACCAAACGGATGTCCCCATTTTTAACCAATTTCCATCACGCGACAACTGAGGTACGTGCTATGTTCTACAACAAAGTAGCTTTGATTTAAATCATACTCGCTAAACAAAATGGGTTCCATATTGCTATGAATCTGAAATTGTAGTAAAAGGCCCTAATGGTAAGAAGTACTGTACAACAAAGTATCTTCCTGTACACGCCTTTCCACAGGCGTATGTCTTCAGTTACTTCTAACTGAAAATGCTTCTAAACTGAAGTATTGATAATAGAATCACTATGTTTCGGACATTGCCATAAAGGGGACTTTATCAGTCTTTTAACATATATTGCTTACTTTAATTTCTACAATGAAATTTTTTAGGTGATCATCACCAGATGCGTAACAATCATAAATTTTCGGTAGAAGTCAATAAAGGCATCATTTCATATAATGGTTTTTTTCTTTATACAACGAGTCTTCACTATTTCTCGAGCTACTATATCACTAACAAATATCAAACAACAAATTTCTCAATTAGAAATCGGATATGTCTGTATGAAGAGGAAGACAGGATAAGAAGTAATTTATGTCAAATCAATGGAAAAAAAACTTCTAATTTTCTTAACAAGCCTGAAAAAATGTAAACAACTTAGTTTTACCATAATAGGAGCAGCACATGTAAGAAATTAATTAGAAATTAAATTAGTTATTAATTAAAGTACTTTGATAGATGACCTTATCAAGTCGTTGTTAATCCGTTGGTAATTTACACAAAAAGTGCACGTTTTCCAATGAATGCGATTTAGTGACAACTGATCCGGATCTTGTGATCGATATGTGACGTTTTAGCAACTCGGTGGTCCTACATTTGAATATAATGTACTTAGTATACAATTCTGAAACGAGTTTTTTGTAATTCCCTTATGGTAGTAAGGCGACGACAAGTAGAGACAATATTTAAATCAGAGATTAAATGCGCTAGCTGGTCGGATATTTAGATGTATTTATCTTTCATTGTTTTTGTCGGCAAAAAATCCCTATTCTTGTTGTTTGTTTTTTTATTATCCATTAATTGCCATTAACATGCACAGGAGCCCTTTGTTGCAAAGAGATCGAAACATAAGTTGACAAAAAGTTGATATATTCAAAGAAAACACCGACGATAGTTAACTTCATCGCAATTTATCGGGGTGTACCGTAAGAAGCGTTCCACCTATTAATAAAACGTATTTACATTGCTGATAAAAATATGAGCTACTAAAAGTTTAACGATCGTTTTAAGAACTTCGTCCCATATTTTTTATATTAAAAAAACATTCTCCTTATAGCATGTTGTGGCAAACAACTCGATGAATCAAGACCGGTAACAACTCTTTATGAAATTGCTTGAGATAATCAGGGTTACTATATTTTTGTTTACTTTTTAATTACATGGCAGTGAGGCAGCGTTCCGGTTGAGCAAAAAGATAAAGGCGCCGCGTTCGATTACCGTCTATGACAATGCATATATCTCACCCATCTCGCACATAATTAATATGGCTGCGTTGTTTTACTTCCAGCCATTCTTCTTTGCTTATTATAAATATAGACCATCTACAATATTATTAAAAAAGGAATTTATAACGATGGTTTCGGGGACTTTAAGCATTCTCATACGACAAAATGTGGCGAATTAGAAAGTTTGGCACGTTAAGTGCTTCATTTTTTTGTGTCACTAAATTACCAATTAAATTAGACATCTCAATGGTAACAGTTTCATGTTCCTCAATGAAGATGAGTATTTTGAGCTTCCCATCGTATACTTGCTTCTCAAAGGCGTTCGACCGTATTAATCACAAGATACTTATCGAAAAATTAAACATGCTTATATAACTTTGATCAAAATTTAATAGCCCTGATCAGTGATCATGTCTTATGGCGCCGCTTGCAATATGTTTGATATCATAATACGTATCTGCTAAGTCAGGAGTGCCGCAAGGTTCTAATTTTGGCCCATCTCAGAACAGCAGTGGTGAAAATCAATCCTACTTAAATATGAGTACAATCTTCACAGTCTACCGACAGCCAAAATAGATTTTTTCAAGGGCCGGGGATTCATTACTCCCGGAATATATTGTTATAAACAAAAAACGAAGAAAAAATGGGAAAATGTCGTTTCTTTTCGGATTTGATTTCAATTATCTCGTTACTATTGCTTTTAGTGGAAAAATGAAGAGAAATGAATTTGTTTAGAATCGAGATACAGACGGTATTGAACGTTCATTTTCAAACGATATTGTTTTTATGGAAAAATATAAAAAAAAGTAATCCGGAAAATTAACAATCCATTATTACTAAGTGAGATTCATCCGCTCTTTTTGAAAATCCGAATGCGATCACTTCTTTTGATAACGAAACAATATGACAAACCCGGTCACCATATGTTTCATAGTCATTGGTTAATTAAATATACAAAAAAAACGATGCTTTGTCTTTCAAACTGAGTGACACCCAGAGCGTTCTCAATTTTTTTTACACTCGATTACAATCGACCAACTGTGGAATTTAGACGTCAAAAATAGCAAGCACACGTTCTGCTGGCGCGATCGTTTCCATAGAACAGCATTGCCATATGTTCTTAAAGTCATTTTATATCGTGCTCCGCGTCCTATTTGAAATAAGAATGACTAGTGTCATTAAAATGCACGATCATATGTTTCACTTTATCTACCCTTGCAGTTAAAGAGCTGCTTACCCTCCTCATTCAAACCTATTAAAATGTTAATTTAACATATGCTATAAAATAAATAATATTATCAGATGCTAATACAATGCAAAAAATGATACAGACATAGATCTATAAAATATAAAAATATAATGGCGTTTGGATATGTAAAATTCTTGTACCTTTCTTTTAGATGTTCGACTTTTAATCGAATGCAGCAGATTTGAGGTTGGGGGTTAATTGGAAATTAGTACTCACGGAAATGGGGGTAAATATCAGACTAAAATTCAACATTAATCGGCGTCGGAGGTTATTGCTTTTTTTTTAATAATCTTGCTTGACACAATTGTAATTATGGTAATCATTGGCGTTTTGAAAATTCGGGTTCCTGTTTTTGGGGACTAACCTTATACTGACGCAAAGGGTCGGTAGTGCCCTTCTGAAGCAACCGATATGCAAATTTTACCAAAAGTACATTTAATGTCGAAACATTTCTGTAGATTTTATTGGATTCGGGACTCTTGGAAGGAAGATTTGGTAAATTTTCACACGCGACCAAGCTCTGTGTGAAAACCACCCATCACGTAAGATATCACTAATGGTTTATGAACTAAATTTCACGCTTAGAAATATATAATTCATTGATTCCAATTAGATAACATGTTTTATGACCCTAATGATTCAAAAAAATTTACGAGCCAAGGCAATAAAAATCCTTGCTCTGTATGTCATTAGACGGAACAATAAAATGTAGGTATACCTATATACGTGCAACTGTACTTTTATTATAAAGTTTCAAATGAACTGTTTTTTCTAAACCCACCTGCTGCAGCCTTTTCGCAAGTTTCGTCTAATTTTTATTTTGATATTAAAATTTAAGCACGCTTCTTTGATGTTTCAATTTTTTACGTGTGTTAATGAGTTGTAAATCAGGCTAAGTCACTATGCCGTTCTTAGACTGCGTATGAAATGTATGCAACATTAATTGAAAAAACTTTTTCAAACTCACCCGTAAAAGGTAATCTGTTTAGCTAATTATTTTGCTTGTTTTTCGTAATTAATTAATAATACGCTCAACAAAATACTCTACTGGTATTTTCGTTTAACCACCATATATTATCATTAACCGCAATCTTTGCGTGCAGTTTAAGATTAAATCGCAATAAATTTAAAAGTGCAAATAAAGTTGCAGCTTCCAACGCTACAAAGTAGATGTAATTAATTCGACATTAAGCCGTATCTTCTATTTTATACACTTCTGTCTTTATTAGTCTAGTCATCGTATAAAAATGTCGTCACTTAGATTACGTATACAATAAATTAAACGTACATTAAGGCCTTCCAACCTTTAAATGTATCCAAAATTGAGGTGATGCACCTTTTCCACTCATCTATTTCCTCCAACGTGTCGCAGGATAAGTAATACCTTGAAGCTTGCTCTAAGCTCGTATGCTCTAAAGCTAAAGTGTTCGGTCTTAAGCACACGTTGTGGATGTCGATGATAACGCAGTGCCTTAAGTCGATAAAGAGCTTATAACCGTTTAGGGATTCCTCACTGGGATTACTCCAGAAGTGTAGGACGGAATTAAGAAGCCTACACCAATTTTTATCCCACACCAAGTGACCGTTGCTTTCGGCGCCAATCGTTAGAAACCCGCTATGCTTGAGATTCAAAGCCTGACTGAACGCACTCGCTGAAAGATGAACGACACTCAAAGGTGTACCGTCCCCTTTTTTATTCAATGTCAAAACATTTTGGCTGAGGTTATTAATAGTCAGCTCCAACCACCCGCATTTCTTAAAAGCAGGGCGGATTTTTCCTTCGAGCGTTGCTTCAAAGTGCGCTCCATGCAAAATTTTCTGCTTCAGCTTCCGATGTAAACGCCTCGGTTTCTGCAAGTTAAACTCACCAATGAGCAAATTTTGTAAGTAAAGTACTCACCCTCCGATCTGCATTGTCAGAGTTAAGCTCGTACACGTGAAGTTTAATTTTAAAGTCGGGGGACACGCCTTGAAAGCTGTACATTTCGGGCAACTGCAAGTAGGATCTTTTAAGGTTGAGCTCCAGCATGGAAGAAACGTGAAACCTGCGATCGGTTACGCACGTTACAAGATACCAGTAGCGACGTTTCGAATCAATTTCTTCAACGTTAAATGGAAATTTAATATTGGAAATTGTGAGATCGGCCGTGTTTTTGGAATCGCTTGAGTATTGCAGCTCCTCCTTTTCGATTCGGTGCAAGTAGTGCGCTCGTTTCAAACCTTTTAGAGAGACACTGATATGGATTCAGGGAATGATGATACTTACTTGCTGTCAACAAAATTCGTTCTGCTTCTGCTCGTTGGATGCTGTTATAAAAAACCTTTGATCTCCGACAGACATCAACCGCTTTGGCTGCTTGTTTCAGTATTTGGCTCTGGTCGTAGGCTTTATGGACAAGTTCGCGAATGGCTTCATTTAAATTCCGCACGGATTCGCTAACAGAATCACGCTCCTGGAAAAGTAATTAAAAATGGTCAAGTGGAATTGTTTCAAACCTCATCCGTTGCGTTGTCTTCGTGCGGTTTAATGTACAACTGGGAATCCATAGTGATAATTGACCTATTTATGTCTGTAGCTTTTTTTGGATTCTTAGTCGTCCTTGGCTCGATAATGTTGACTAAAAATCTCTCGTTGCCCTTACTTTTGCTAGACATCACACTGGACTGTTGGAAGGATTTACGTTTGTCGAACGAATACGTATCACAGTTATCAATTTCGCAAGAGTTTTGCTTAAGGACCATTCCAACCACTACGGGTGGTGGACGCGCAACTACTTCCACTGAAGTATTTGTCCGCAATTTACCCACATTTGTTGACCAACTCTTATCTGTAGACATTTGTTTGCTTGACATCGATTCGAAGAACTGGATCTTATACCTAATACTTTCTGGGTAATCCCTAATGTCTTTCCGTCTTAATTGTCTCACTTTGAACGATGATTCATGTGTGTTATGTACTTTGGTATCTATTGGATCTTCGGTAATTTTACTACTTTCTAAACTAATATTTGGATCGGACTGTATAATTTCCTTCTCCTCAAGAATAATAGAATTGGTGAAATTAAATTTCGACACTATAAAGTTGTATACCTTTCAGTTTTGTTTGCATTTCGTCGAGGGGGAGTTCACTACTCGAATTAGGTGTAACCGAAACAGTATTTGTGTTACTGAGATTACGGTTGATAAATTCAAAGCATGAATGGGCAAATACACGGTGAACATTTAAAAAGCTTCTTTTTTATTAAAGGTACTAATACTACTAAAAACCGTTACGATTCTATGAAGTGGGAACCCATACCATCCTAAATTTCAAAAATATATAAACAATTCGTTTTTGCGGATTTAAAGAAAATTTTTTCGCAGACCACAAAAATGAACAGAATTTTACATTTGCTGTGTAGATACACGCTATACTGAACTGATTCAATTATTTTATTTTACTGTTTATTTAATTTTATTTATTAATTAATTGATTTTAAACTTCTCGCTTAAACCTGCAGAATTTCGCATTAGAAAAGGTACACGCGACTAAAGTTTGTGTAATTTTTATTCAAACCTGCGTAATTTACTTACGCGTTTATCTTAAAAGTGATGAAGCTGACTCTGATTTTAAATTATGAAAATGTGCACGGAACCAGAGCTGGGCAGAATACTTTCAAAAAGTATTTGAATACTAAATAGTAAATACTTTACACAAATCAAAGGTATTTAAATACTAAATACTTTTACGTCCAGCACAAGCGAATACTAGATACAGATACATTGAAAAGTATTCAAATACTTAAAAAAAATAAGTATTCAAATACTTTAGAACGTATTCGAATACTTTCAAAAGTATTCGAATACTTTCAAAGGTATTCGAATACTTTCAAAAGTATTCTAATACTATCAAAGGTATTCGAATACTATAAAGAGTATTCGAATACTTTGAAACGTATTTCATTATCTTACTTTGAAAAATATTCGAATACAGTAAAAAGTATTCAAATACTTGTCACATGACAATACTTTCAAAGGTATTCGAATACTTTCAAAAGTATTCTAATACTATCAAAGGTATTCGAATACTATAAAAAGTATTCGAATACTTTGAAAAGTATTTCATTATCTTACTTTGAAAAGTATTCGAATAGAGTAAAAAGTATTCAAATACTTGTCACTCAAATACATTAAAAATTTAAAATAGTATACTAGATAAAAGGCTTAATACTACTTAAAAAATCAAGTTATACTTTGTATGGGGTTAGCTTTTTTTATATTTCTATTGTTACATACAAATTTAAGGGGAGTAAAAGCGTATTATTATTATTATATTATTATATAGGAGGTACCTACCAGGACCCTTCTTATACCAGTTATATCCTTAAGAATACGTGTACCAGTTTTCAAAGCGATCGTACGTCGTGCACATGATACGTACGCCTTTCTGAAATGAAACCTAGCGATTTTGGAACAGATCCATCCGTTTGTCCGTGTGCATGATAACTTGTTTAGAAACGTGCGATCGCTTTGAAAATTGGTACACATGGTTTTAAGGATATAAGAAAGGTCCCTATTGTTTTTTAGTTACGTAGACTATCGAGTTCGGTATTCAGATGTATCGGATTTTTATATTTGATTTTGTGACAATGGAAACTTTCCCTAAACATTTCTAAATTGTTCTCAAATGTTTGAATAACTTAAAAGTACTGCCTTTTTTTGAGGCCGGAAAAAAAATTGTCTGAGATCGAGATCGATCGAGAGTCCATAATTTCAAACAGTTTGAAGATTGGGCTACTAGATCAAAAGTTACAGCCTTTTGAATTTTTTTCGAAATTTGTTTTTTGTCCATAACTTTTTATTGAGAGGTCTAATCGAAAACGTACGAATTGTTTTGGATTCTACGCACCAAAATTAATAAGAAAAAGTGTTTTTCCGAGAAATTTTGGTGCAGTCGATTTTTGGTAAAAAAGGAAGGTTATACACTGCCTTTTTTTGAGCCCCGAAAAAAAATTGTCTCAGATCGACCCGGAAAAGAAATTTTCTTATAGAATGTGGCCTGTAGAATCCATAATTTCAAACAGTTCCAAGATTGGGCTACTATTTCAAAAGTTACAGCCCTTTGAATTTTTTTTCGAAATTGGTTTCTAGTCTATAACTTTTGATTGAGAAGTCTGATGGAAAAAGTACGAATTGTTTTGGATTCTACGCACCAAAATTAATAAGAAAAAGTGTTTTCCCGAGAAATTTTGGTGCAGTCAATTTTTGGTAAAAAAGGAAGGTTTATACACTGCCTTTTTTTGAGCCCCGAAAAAAAAATTGTCTCAGATCGACCCGGAAAAAAAATTTTCTTATAGAATGTGGCCTGTAGAATCCATAATTTCAAACAGTTTCAAATTGGGCTACTAGTTCAAAAGTTACAGCCCTTTGAATTTTCTTTCGAAATTGGTTTCTAGTCTATAACTTTTGATTGAGAGGTCTGATCGAAAAAGTACGAATTGTTTTGGATTCTACGCACCAAAATTAATAAGAAAAAGTGTTTTCCCGAGAAATTTTGGTGTAGTCGATTTTTGGTAAAAAAGGCCCGCAAAAAAAATTGTCTCAGATCGACCCGGAAAAAATTTACTAATAGAATGTGGCCTGTAGAATCCATAATTTCAAACAGTTCCAAGATTGGGCTACTAGTTCAAAAGTTACAGCCCTTTGAATTTTTTTCCGAAATTGGTTTCTAGTCTATAACTTTTGATTGAGAAGTCTGATCGAAAAAGTACGAATTGTTTTGGATTCTACGCGCCAAAATTAATAAGAAAAGGTGTTTTCCCGAGAAATTTTGGAGTAGTCGATTTTTGGTTAAAAAAAAGGAAGGTTAAGTATTCAAATACTATGCGAAGTATTCGAATACTTCTCAAAGTATTCAAATACTTTGCGAAGTATTCGAATACTAAATATTTGTGAAAGTATTTGAGTTACAAGTACAAATATGTAATAATAGTTTATTGATCAACAGAAGAAAAACTTCCAATAACAGATCAAATCCTTGAGAATTAAGATGAACATTAGAAAAAAATGTAAAATTATAGCTGCTTCCATAAAAGTATTTAATTACAAAGTATTTGAATACTTTAAAGGATTTGAATACTAAAAAGTATTTACAAAATCGAATACTGCCCAGCTCTGCACGGAACTAAACTAATTTATGCTTATTCCTTATAAGGTTTCAGCCGGACCCGATTTTAAATTTTTTGTGGAAGCCTGTACAATTTCCAGTCTTTCATATCAACATCCCACAAGACATCACTTTTTGAGAAGAACTTTTGTTACAACGCAACTAAAATTTTTAACTCGCTATCACGTTTTATTAATAAATCCTCGAAAAAAATAAACTATAAACAAAATTTAAAAGAATTATTGGTATCAAATTGTTTTTATAATATGGACGAATTCTATCAATTTGTAAAACCTTAGTTTAAAACGTATTTGGCTTATTGTAAATCTTTTGACGTTTATTTTAGTGCTTTCGCAAGAACCGCACTAAAATACTAATAAATATTATGGTCGGTGTTTCTTGTGAGAACTCAGGTCTAGCCTGGTTAACTAATCGCACGGATTAAAATCAAGTAACGATTAGTGTCTGTGTCTGTGTCTGGTGAAGTTATGTAGGGTCCTTAAAAAAAAAATAAAAAAAATAAACAAATAAAAAAAAAATAAAAATCACACACGTACATTGGACATCTAGGGATAATGTAATTCGTACTTACCAACATACCTATTGATGGGCACAATAGCCAACGCTATCAGGAAAGAGGAAAACAAAACAAAACAAAAATCATTATAATAATTCCTGTAATTTTATTAAATGGAGTTTATTGTGTAAGTGTTTCTTTGGCTTTGCGTTTGGGTTGAATACGAGTGGGTTGTGATAACGTGGTGTGTTTCTGTGAAGAAGGAGTTTTGTGTTTTTTAATTGTATTTATGGTGTTTCTTTGTTCCTGAGGTCGTATTTGTGAGGTTGCTTGGGTTTTTGGTGGAGATATTGCAGTATTTTGTGAGCCTGTGGTGCTGTTAAGGTTTTTGCGTTTCGGTTGTATACGAGTGGGTTGTTTCTGAGAAGAAGGAGTATTGTGTTTTTTAACTGTGCTAGGGCGTGTAACTTTATTGGATGGACCTGTCTTTGTAGTACATGTTGCGTTACTTGTGTTTATGGTGTTTCTTTGTTCTTGAGGTTGTATTTGTGAGGTTGCTTGGGTTATTGATGGAGATATTACAGTATTTTGTGAGCTAGTAGTGCTGTATAGGTTTTTGCGTTTGGGTTGAATACGAGTGGGTTGTGATAACGTGGTGTGCTTCGGTGAAGAAGGAGTTATGTGTTTTTTAATTGTGCTAGGGCGTGTAACTTTATTGGGTGGACCTGTCTTTGTAGTGCATGTTGCGTTACTTGTATTTATGATGTTTCTTTGTTCTTGAGGTTGTATTTGTGAAGTTGCTTGGGTTTTTGCTGGAGATATTTTAGTATGTTGTGAGCCTGTAGTTCTGTTAAGGTTTTTGCGTTTCGGTTGAATACGAGTGGGTTGTGAAAATGTGGTGCGTTTCTGTGAAGAAGGAGTTTTGTGTTTTTTAAATGTGCTAGGGCGTGTAACTTTATTGGATGGACCTGTCCTTGTAGTGCATGTTGCGTTACTTGTATTTATGGTGTTTCTTTGTTCTTGAAGTTGTATTTCTGTTGTTGCATGGGTTACTGGTGGAGACATTACAGTATTTTGTGAGCCTGTAGTGCTGTTAAGGTTGTTGCGTTTGGGTTGAGTACGAGTGGGTTGTGTTTGTGATAACGTGGTGAGTTTCTGAGAAGAAAGAGTATTGTGTTTTTTAGCTGTGCTAGGCCGTGTGGGTGAGGGCGTCTTTGTAGTGCGTGTTGCGTTACTTTTATTTATTGCGTTTGTTTGTTCAGGAAGTTGTGTTTGTGTGGTTGGTTGAGTTAAGTTTGGAAATATTACAGTATGTTGTGTGTCATGTTGTGAGTCTAAAGTGGTGTTTAGGCTTTTGCGTTTGGGTTGAATACTAATGGGTGGTGATAATGTGGTTTGCTTCAGAGG